ACCATGGGTTATAGACAAGAAGCAAGGCCCAGATCCCGATCGTCGTTTACGGATGTCCACAGGGGGAACACGACCGTGTCCATCCTGCTCCGCGTCGTCGCGCATCCAGTTCGCACGAAGCGGGCCTTCCCACCGCTGCCGAAATCGGACGGCATCGTAGCCGTTATCAGACAGCACTTCCATGAGGCGTCGCTCGAGAGTAGGTGTGGCCCGGGCGAGCATGAAAAGCACACGCGAGTGATCCGCCGCGAAACGCTGCGCCAACGCTGGGAGAGAGGTGATGCTCGATAGATCCAAGAAGCGAAGCAAAACCCCAATGATGCCGGGGCTGCCCCAGAGCACCTGGAGGTCGCAGAGGGTCGTACGAATAGGGGTTCTATTAGCTATCATCATTTGATCGATAGTATCACTATTTATATTATCCGGAATGGCATGCTGGAACCAATACCCGCGGATATGCATGATGGAATCAATATCTCCATACGCATGCTGGAACCAATATGCCTATAAGCAAGATGGAACCAATACCTAATATATATTATCCGGAATGGCATGCTGGAACCAATACCTGCGGATATGCATGATGGAATCAATATCTCCATACGCATGCTGGAACCAATATCTCTATAAGCAAGATGGAACCAGTGTCCAGAAAGCAAGATGGAACCAATACCAGCGGATAACCTCCACAAACACCGCAGGCTCTTTTGCACGCACCAGCTCCAGCTGCACTGATGCTGCGCCATCCAAGCGCGGTCCGTCGGCCTTCATCCTGGCATATTTAATTGAAACTGAGCTCAACCTCCCCTCGAGGGAGGATCTTACTTGCTTCCTTTAGCTCAGGCTAGTGGGAGATACGAAAGGCCATCCCACGGTTGCTGACGGAGAGATCATACACAGAACGAACGGTTCATTATTCGGGATTCGGACAAATGATAATTGAGGGGGTTGAACGATGGTCGAACGATATCTGACGCTGCGTTCGGCATGTTCCGGGCCACTGTGGAAGAAACTGAGAGCACTTCGCCGTACGAAGTCGGGGTCGGCGGTCTCGAAAAGTCACTCCATGTCGAGCGAGAGGCAGCAGAAGTCGAACACGCCACGGTGGGCGCGTCGCGCGGCGCTGGGGGGCGGGGAACAGAGATCTCAGCTTCTGCGTGTTCCCCCACGAGACGGACTGAAGTTTCAGGATCTCTGACCCCGAGTTCCTACTGCGAACTACTCTCGTTTTCTTCCCCTGTGAACCATAATATGCCCAACGCAGCGTCAGAGATCGTTGGACCATGCTCGAAACTCAGACGTCTGAAATCTCGTCCGACCAATGGGATCAGCGGATTGGATTCTTGGATAATATATATTTCGTTCTCTACATGGCCTTGTTTATCCCCCGTGCGGGGGTAAATCGGCGGGGGATACGGGGCGGATACCATACGATATAACCTTCAACTTGCCTTCACCTTGACTTCAACTATTAAACTAACTTCACTGTGCTTTTTTTATGTGCTTTATATACCCTTATACTACTGGGAGGAGAACCCCTGAATGCATTGGTCATTCAAAAAAATTCTCCACATCAAAACCTACTGTAATCACATTTTTCTTCACTATTACATCCTTCACATCACTGTCGTACTATAGGCCGATGTTGAACCTATATTGGGGCTACTCGGGGCTACTCGGGGCTACTCGGGGTTGGGAATATAGGGGGCTATGTATATCCAGTAGATCCCTCGTTCTTATTCGAATAAATAGGTGGGGCATCAGGTCTATTAATTCTTTAAACTTCTCAGCCAACGCTTTTTCATCAATTTGGGGCTTAACATCGTTATCTTTAACCATTGCTCGTGCTAGCGATTTGATCACCCTTTTTTACGAGCGAGATATATCAATCTCGATATCTTTGCTTAATTAGGATCATCTGGCGCCCCCAGATTAAATTTTGTGCTGTTATACGTGGATGATAATGGGTGCTGTGGTAACTGATGAGCCTCGTTTGGTCGAAAACGATGTTCACGTGTGCGTTGCGAAAGCGAGGGCTCGTGATAAGTCACTCACCTACTCGGAAGCCTTGGCGTACTACGAATCACTCGGCCAACTCAAATCCAGTGACATCCGCGGCTGCAACCTTCACAAAAGGAATCGGGGCTGTATGAGTTACCGTTGTCGGTGCCCACGAGTCGAAGACTCGTTCACTGAATGGCTTATATAACGGCGTCCATCCAAATTTGTGTCAATAATTTTGCCAACACAGGGACTGCGGATTTTCTCCGCCCACTTTACTACTGATATTTCCAATTGTCGTGCTTCTTAGCACTGCCAAAATATTGCACCAACGCATCTCTCGTCCAAAGCCAAACGACCTCTACGCGAAGATCGACGTGTGTGCACCGGAAAATGTCCACAAAAAAGGAGAATGTGGCGAACCGGCCATCGCCGAAGTCCTTCTCAGGGTCCGAGAATCTTGAAAATTCGTGTAAATTTTTCGCCACCGTAAAACTTCGGACCCAGGTGACTCTTCTCGTCGACCTTGAGAACAAAACGGAAGCCCATTTCACGTGCGACGAATTTTTCTTGCCTGGCTTGGGCGCAGCCACCTCAGCCATACTTCTGCAACATAATGAGGAAAGTAATTTTCCTTTTTTTTAAATATGGAACAAGGGGGCCGGACTGGAGACCACGTCTTCCACGAGACCTGTTGCCTCCTCCCTGTCCGGCCAAATATACAGTAACCAACAATCAGACAGCCACCGCCCTCGACGCTGGATCTTCCATCTCGTATCCATTCCTGAATTGTGTCTTTCAAGAAGGCTAGTTTAGGGGCATTGAGTCTGTATGGCTGTAGTTTAATAGGCTGCTGTCGGGGGTCTAAGAACTGAATCCCAACCGGGTCTGAGTCTACCGGTCTAAGGGTTTTATCAAACATACCCCAACAGTACGCTATCATCTCTTTGAAGTGCTGCTTCATGGAGTCCCCGAGCACTGGGTTATCTGTCACACCAATCCTTTTCATGGTGTCAATTAATTCTTGATCCGTAGCAGGTTTTACTCGCCACTGATCGTCGACGCCTAAGTCTTTGGGTTGGTCAGGCAACGGTAGCCCTCGCTCATCCCTGTCGGCGTTTTTCCACGGTGGCCAAACTTCGGCCTCCGCGGTTGTTTCGGTTGAGTTCGCAGCTGCTCCCTCAGCCTCAGT